AGGGGAGTTGCAGAATTACATGCCTCTGTAGTCTCCTGGTCCAGGTATGTTAAGATTCCTAACATGCTTATTTATTAAATAAGATTCCTTCACAATAACTTGCATCTTTTTTTCCTACCTGGAAACATATTGTTTTCGTGTCTCTGATAGATAGTTTGAGATTATGTTAATTCGGTAACTGCCCCCATTAACACTGAAAATAGAGAAATGGTCCAACTGACAACCTCACTGCAAAGAGGTCAAGAAGACCTAGGTATATGTGGAAACTTTTGGCTTTTGACTGATGGGTTTTGTATGTCAAAATATGCCATCAAGTCACAGAGGTGAAAGAAAAGAGAACCAGTAACTCCAAACTGTGAGTAAAGATGGTATTTCTAGTTTTGTTTCTTCATTGTTCCCATCTTCTCATCATGACATCTAGATGATTAGATTACAAATTAAAATAGGATCATGCTACAAAGAGAAGGAATATTAAGACCCATGGCGTAATGTTATCATGTTACTTGCTGTCATCCCACCAAAGGGGGCTTGCAAAGCTGCCCCACTGGCTCATTTGCTTCCATCTGCACAGCAAGGTCAAGAAATCTTTCTATCTCCCCTCTTTTTTTGCCAGAATTATTAAAGGGCAGGGCCATCTTGGTAGTGGGAACAGGATTATTCAGCCTTGCTACTGGAAGATTCCTTGGGGGGAAGGGTGTCAATATAGAAGGATTATTTTAAAGAACAAAATTAATAAAGAGAAAGCTTCATTAACAGGCAGGAGGATGTGTGAAAGCCACATGTGGGTCTAAGAATATAGGAATCATTGACTAGATGTTGAATTCTGGCAGGTGCCATGAGGGTTTCAGAGCTGATATGCTTGCTAAAGGACCCCTTACATGGTGCAATTCCAGCAGCCTTCCCGCTATATTCTCTCAATTATAATAAAGCTTTCCAGAACAATTCTCAATGTATGTGCTGAACACATCAACATATTTTTCATAAATTAAATATAAAGATTTACATTTAATAAATTCAATGATATGTATGTTATAATAAGTTCAATATAAAGATAATACTTTGTTATCTTTCTATAGTCTATAAAGTATACTGTGTTTTTTTTTTTCCCTTAGCAGTATTAATGCATGAATCAGATGTGCTTCCAGGTAAAACAGAAGATGTAACACCTTTCTCTTTGAGGGCTTCTACTGTGGATGAGGAAAGTGCTACACTAATCACATCTTAACTTTGTCCTGTGCAAAATGTTCTCTCTCTCCTTTAATCATTAGAACATGGGTTCCTTTCTTCTTGAAACAACTGAGTTTTAAGACTAGGGGCCACCGAGTGAAGTATATTGGTTTCATTAAACATTACAAACAGCTATGCTCAACTGAGTCTCAAAGCACACTTTATCATGTTTCTTGAATCAAGGCTGTGGCCTGGCTCACTATAGAAGTAATGACATCAGACTGGATAACTATTACTTAAAATATTTAGGTTACATTGAGCACAAGGTGTAAGGAACTCTTTAATGAAAATATCTGACAGGCCTTTTTACTGGAATGACTGCTCATGACTACCCAGATTTAATATTGGCTATAGAGAACATTAAATATCTTTCACCAGTTCTAGAGGGACAGGCTCCAAGAGAAGATACATTACTTCAGATTCTTTAAGCTAAAACGTCTTCTCACTTATATACAAACAAATCTGAGATACATAAAAAAATGCCACGCTATATATAAACTTAAATGTATTAATACTGAACAGGTTCATTCACACAATAAAATAGCATGTTTATAAAAGAATGAAATAATTCAAAAAATAAATATATCTTTTTATACATAGAGCTTTGAAGACTTTATCTTTTATAAGTATTGTAATATTAGTAATATATATTGATACAGGTTATAATATCTTTTAACACATTTGAAAAGAAACACTAATTTCTTTCTTCAAATAAAAAACATTTAAAATTTTTAAGGGAGAAGAGATTCACCTTAGTAGGTGTGTGTGTACATATTGTATATATGTAATATGTACATATATTATTCCAGTGCTCTGAAATACTAGCAAAGTAATGGGGATTCAATTTCCCTAAGTTTAATTTCTTTTCACAACTATATAATTATAATACCAATAACTACTAATGAGGAACATCCCTCTATTTGGATCCCAGTGGCATGAGTGACTACTATTTTCTTTTACTAATTGTTACTTGCAAAAATACACAGATAACTTGCAAATTGTGAACCACTGACATCAGGGCTTACCAAGGGCATGCATGCTCTCTCCCTATAGGACGCGAGGCTCCTGAACTTGAACCTATAACCATAACTTCCATCTGCATCACAGCCAAGACCCACCCCACAACTTGCTTCATCACATTCCCTGAATCTTAAGCAAAACAAACTTAGAAGCATCCGTGATTATGGTTATTTGGTATTATTTTTAAGAAACCAACAATTTCCTCGTCCTTCCAAAGAACTGTAATGAAGGACAACTAGGAGTGCTGGAAAGTTCTCTTTGCACTCTGACTAAAATGGCTGTCATTCTTTGAGAATACCCTGGTTATTCAGAGTAAATGGATTTCCTTTTTTATTTGCAGCAGTGCAAATAAAATACGTTGTTAACTGAGAAATGGCAATGGGACAGTCATTTTTAAAGTAAGGCGGACTGTAAATGCTGGGTATAAATACTTAATTCTTAAGTGTTTCCATGACTCGCAATGAAGTCGCAGCAACATTTTGACCCAAGAGGAAGTGAAGCTAGGATTTGTTACTGTATGTCAAGTGAATCGCGAGCGATTATGCCTGAGTCCCCACTGTACCACACCATCACTAACCAACGAGAGGTATTAATTCCATCTCTATGGCTGCCTCACTGTGATCTGAATCCATTTCATTTTCAACACAGAAAAGTTACTTTACAACAACCTGGATTAGGTCCACTTTGTTCCCTATAGCAACACCCCAGTTGTGAAAAGGCTGGAGAAGTCACACAGGGGCCTGCCAACGTGTAAAGAACATAGACTGTGAAATTTGATTCTAAAAATAAAGGTCAATATGGTCTAAAGACATATTTTGCTCATGACAAGTATCTCTGCTTCAGTTCAGAAGAGTGATAATTTTCTCATAAATAATAGAGAGAGAGTAAAACACCAGAGCATTTATTCAAAACACACTTTGGAGAAGACAAAAAATACTACTTTGGGCACCTTATGGAGGTCACATGATAGGATGGGTAAAATAAAAGTTTTTAAAAACTGTTTACACATTTGGATGTAGTTATAAAGAAGCCTTTTAAAAAATTAATGCATTGCAATTAGTTCCTGGAGACCACAAAGTAGGAAACTACAGAATTTTAAAAATTACTGCTCAAAGGCATATATGAGTTTTTGTGGCTTGAGACATTTCCTGAGATGTCAACATTTATCGATTCAAAAAATGCTGTACCTAAACACTTAGATGGAAGTAAAATAATTTGTCCTAGAAAGCTGGTAGATAACTCTAAATGTGCTTCAGTAAATAAAAAACTACCAAGGTCAAAGGCATGTCTGAAATGTTTGGATTGGTGTTTTCATAAATCTGTAAGTGTTTCAAGAAAGAAAATTTCTAAATCAATAGGAGATTATAAATATTTGCAAGTAAATCATAGAATTTGTGAATATTAAAAGTAATCATTTGAGTATTTCATCTACAACTCTGAGAAGGTTCATACTGGCCAAAACAAAAAACTATTTTGATATCTCACTACATATTTCCTTAAGATCAAGACCACCTTACTTCAGGAGCTGAGAGAGTAGTGATTTTTATTGGTTCATTTTTTGAGGAAAGGTGAGAAAACTTTTTTTTAAATTAAATTTATGCTTTCCATCATTTTTGTAATATAAAGTACTCAAAATTGACTGAACACCTCTTTTGTAAAGTTTGAGCTTCTGCAAACTCTAGAAGTTCAGAGGTTACAGAACTACAGTGTAATTGTTTTTGTGTGGAAGGAAGAGAGAAAGTAGACCTCATTCCGAAAATATGAGATTAAAAAAAAAGCATACAATAGATAGAACCATCTCAACTGAACTGTCTGTATAATAATTCATAATCACAAGTTGGTCTTGGGGACAGTAGTGCAGCATAAAGAATATAGTCAATGATTCTATAACCTCTTTCTATGTTGATAGATAGTAACTGCAGTGGAGGGGGTGAGGATTTAATAATCTAGGTAACTGTTGAACCACTGTGTTGCACATTTGGATGTAGATTGTATATCAATGATACTATAATAAATAATACATAAAAAATAATATTCTTTGTATTCATCAATTTACTTGGCAAATAGCATCTATCACATAGGTGTCACTGTTGATCAGCATGAGGGGGCAATTGGCAATGAGTGGACATTCGAGGTCTAGATTACTTTCTTCACAATCAAGCATTAATTCAGCACAAAGCACATCTACTCCAGCCTCTGTCTGAAAGTTCAAGTTAGCAAAGCACCAAGAAGAAATTTTGTGTAAGACAATGTCAACTGCAATGTGATCCCATAGCCAAGACTTTGGTTGGTATTACAAAGAAGAGCCAGCCAGACCTGCGCTCATGCTCAGACTTACAAGCCATGTACTCCACACTGTGAAGATTGCAACACCTTTAGCTCAGAGGACTGCCAGGCAGTAAATGGGAGAAGCTGAATCTGTCTCTAGAGGCACTCACTGTATTATAGAAAAGCTTTACCCAAAATTAATTTCATAAATAAGAAAGTCATGACATTTTGAAGTACTCTACAAATATCTTTGGGCTAGTACAGTAACTAATCTCTGTAAAATTATTTGAAAAAATGATTTTGCGAAAAATGTTCATTAGGTGGAAAAACGGCCCTTGTGCATTTTTTTTATTCTATCACTCTATTTGACAGAGCACAATTGCTGTATACATGCTTCTACTTATTAAAACATTTTGCTTTTACTATATGATCATTTCAAAGCAGGAAATAAATAAAAATGCATTACAAATGAAAATGTTTTATACCTGAGAAATCTGCTGCTAAGAGATCGACTGCCTTTAAAACCTTCACTTGTAAAATGCCGACGTCTTTCAGATCTTTCAGGGAGTTCTGTAAGCACTGAGTGGGAGAAAAGTAGATCAGAAATACAAATAGATTTCTAATACACTATTTAATAGTTCTACAGAAAGTGCATTATAGATACATCATCATCTTTCTTATGGAATGCTTAGAAAAATTCCAAAGTGCATTGTATCAGTCATTAGGACAGTGAGGCATTTACAGCAACCAGATTAAAAGTGACTGAGAATTAATTAACTACAGCTTCAAAATAAACAAATTACAAAGCACATGCAATCTACTTTTAACACCGCCCCCTGGTGATTGCTGAGATATCCAGCCGAGAAAATGTGTGTGGAACTATATACGTTCTTTTTCTTTCTCTTTAATGAAACTTTTAAATCGCCCAAGAAGGCAACATTATTCTGACCGATTTAGCGCGAATTTTGTGAATACCACAGGACTAAACCTGGACCCTTTGTGGATCTTTATTGCCACTGGAAAGAGAGTAGGGATGGATATGAGTGAGTTTTCTGGCCCATGGTATAGCCAGCTCATGAAATTGGAAATGAAGCATCCAGTATCACCCTGTATTCATATATACTTTAATTCTGAGTTTGCATGAGCCAAAGCTTGAATATATCGACTGACAGTTCTAAAGCATGTGTAGCAATATTTGGATGTCTATGTACACTGCATCCTTCAGAAATTATGCATGAAAGAGATATGGAGATAAATTCTCTTCACATGCCTCCAGAACGCATCCGCTGAAAAAGATGCTGCTTTCAAACCTTTGGATATAGTATTTCAACAATCATTCAATAACTAAAATTCTGTGATAAGCAGACCCCAGAGATTTATGGGAAATACAGTAAACTCTTTGCTATTTAGGCATTTCAGTATAGAATAACAACTTAAAGGTTCAGATTTGCCTGACCTAATATGCACCATTCCTAAGAACTTTTGAAGGTTATTTTTGCTCAGCATTTTCAGCCTAACCCCCGCCCCCATATAAAGTGTTTAAGCTAAGATTAAAACATTTGAAATGAAATACTTTTTACAACTTAAAGGTGGAAAAGCCTTTGAAGATTATCTATTCTTACAACCTGCAAAACACATCAAGGGGTCTGGAATGTGCATCTCCTAACATACCATTCTTTCCTTCTAACATGCTGGCTGGCTTGCTAGTTGCAAAAAACATTGATATTTCTAATTGATTAGCCTCTTCAACTCTCTTTTCAATTAGTACTCCTCAACTCTGGAGGCATTATTTGAAGTCAATATGATCTAAGCTAAGGTCACCTTATAAATGCATGATACTCTTCAAGAATTTGGTAAATTTTGCCAGCGATCTGAGGAGAAGTTTGGGGAAAAGTTTTGTTATTCACCAAACTGTAATTTGCCTAGCTAAAGTCAGCAGAGAATATCCGTAGGGGATTTTGTCAAAACTTTTTTAAAGTTTGCCAACCTTGAATGCAGAATCTGGGTTGACAAGAAGATGTGTGGCTAGGCTTCATGCTCTTGAAGATAAAGAATTATTCAATTAATCAATACACCTCACAGTGAAGGATTTTGGAGGCACTAAAGTTTATGCAGAGAATAATAATCGCATTAAATAGAGATTCATCTTTGCTTCGTTTTCATGTCACTCTCCTTAAACATGCCTTTCGTGGGTGGCCATAAAATAAATGTATTGATTTACAAAGAAAGGGGACAAAAACAGAATGCAAATTAAGATGCTTAGAAAGCCACAAACAAAAAATAAATGAAGAGGGCAAAGCCATTTGATTTTAAAAGGCTGAGTGGACTTTTAAGAACATTACAACCACTTAGGCAAAAATCACAGACTGCTATTATTCTCCAGGGTATTGCAGAACAAGTCTTTCATGCCTTTCTGAGGTTTTGCTTGCTTTAGAAGACACAAGCATTGTCTCAATTGAGCCTAAGAGGTTCTGTATAAATACCTAAACCTTGCAAACATTAATGGTTAGTTTTTAAAAAAAAACAAACAAACTACTTTTGTGAACTTAGGTGAAAATTCCAATTGACATATGCAGCCATGCTAAGCAACACTTGCCACCTTGTGGATTCCCATGTTCTCGGAAGAGTTTCTAAAAGCTAAAAATTCAACATACTTCCTTTGGTTTTTAAAATAGTAAGGCAAACACTTCATTGACTTTCACCTTCTCACTAATGCATTGATCTCAAGGTCTGATGCCTTGTTTGATGAGACATACCATTAAACTTTGGACAAAGATCTCTTTCTGTGTAGTTTTTCAATTCATAGACCTTGTTTTGACTTGAAAGTGGGGGGGGGGGGCCCGGGAGTGGGGTAACAGAGCAAGGCACTCACGTATCGCTGGGCAATCTGCTTTCTTTCGCTGGCGTCCGCCAAGGGGCACACACACAGATCAGAGATGGAGACTCCTGCACAGGGGGTCAGTGTAATCAGCATCAGCAGAGCCCCCCAGCAGCTCTCCAGCGGCAGCTCCAGGAGGTTGGCTTGCTTGAGTGGGAGTGCCGCGATATCCACTTTACACCTAGAGAAGTTGCAGGAATCAGAGAAAGGAGAGCGATTAGCTCAGAGCCACTTCAGAACCTCCAAAGCACCTGATTTTTATTTCTCCATTCCCCAAACCTCACTCTGTGTGGACCTGGATTTACTGAGCAGCAAGCGGTGCAGGGGCTCCCCTGGCATCTAATACTCACTCCCGGCCTAACGAACTCTACGATTAAGGAGAAGAAGAGGTCAAGAGAATCAGAGAGAAGACAGTAGGGAGGCAAAGCAAATGAAAGGGAAGAGGTCTTTGCCAAGTAAGGTCTTCAGAAAGACAACGAGACCAAGAATTAGAAAAGAAGTTTACAAGTTCAAGCACTGTGGATGGAGGCTCCATATGGCTTCTCTGAATCGGGTCTTTCACCAGCAAAGAGAATAAAGGATCCTGGTTCAAAAAAAAAAGGAGAAAAGACAAGAGAAATTCAAGTGGGAGAGGGTTAATGGAGAAACTATTTTCTTCCAGATTAATGCCAACTGGCCAGTTTTTATTTAAAGAAATGTGTTAAGGTGTTTTCCTCACAGGCACGGGTCTACACGGTTTCCCCAGGTGGATTTCTTTTGGACAAATGGAGCATGAAGTGTTGTTGATTGATCCCGTTCAGCAGGGTTGCCAGGAAAGGCTGCACCCATATGCTATAAATTGCATGTTTTCCACCTCTTAACAGCTAATGTGCTGGCAAGTTGAAAACCTCAAACACATTTAAATACGGAAGCAAACACCAAAAAGGGTGGCTGAAGTGCTAAGCCATTTATTTGCTTTAACACTGAAATCTCCAGTTTGCCTGGACCACACCCGCTTTGTTTATGCACAGGTGGGGGATGTAGGCAGGGTAGAGCAGAGGGAGGGAGGGGAGGCAGCGGTAGTAGTGTCTAGATGTAATGCGATGTGTGTGTGTGTGTGTGTGTGTGTGTGTGTATTCTCATTCCCCCTTCATAGACTGAATAACATGAATATCCAAGACTTTATAAACGGATGGAAGCACTGCCTCTCATAATGTGCGACAAGGATGGATTCTTACCCTAAATCTTCAATGGACTTTGTATGTTTGCAGATAATTAGAAACAGGTAAACGTACCTAATATACAAAGTAATGACAATTGTGAGTCACATGGATTTGTAAAACATTCCACTTTAATACATTTGAAAGAGTTGGCAATCCTTTCCGAAAGAGAAAAATACCAATAATATTAAAAGTCTATGCCAGTTTTTAGGACAGGAAAAAGTATTTTAATACTGGTATGTACCTATAAAATTACATGTATATGGGTATCGGTTTCCTAATTAACAAAAGTAATTCCAATTATGAGAAAAAGTGGTCATTAGAGCTTTTGCATGGAATAAATCCATCAAGTATTTTGCCAGCAGACACATTACTAAAAAATATATCTTTTTAAAATATTAGGATTTGAATCAAAACACATCTTTCTGAGCAATAAGAAACCTTTTAAAGCTAAAGTTTGCTACTGTGAAAACAGAGTTACTGAGTATTTTTTATTTCATAAGCAAGTATACATGAGCAGGGTATTAATTTTGCTTGGAAAGAAAGCAATATGAAATGTTTTAATTATGCCATTTCTACCAAACTCACTAAGTCTTAACAAATATAGCAATAGTACATGTGGTTAAGAACACTCTGCTAAGCATTATTTTACACTGTAATATACATTTTTATTTAATAAAGCTCTTTCTTATGGGAAGATGAATGATCCAAATTTTGGAAGAGTTTTCTTTAGTGTTTAGTGTACTTTCATTAGCCCATATTAGCAATGACCTACTTACAGCACATTCATCTTAGTATCATTTACAATGACAATTTATTTTTGTACTTTGAAGTTTACCTTTATGTTGTGGCAGTGGTTTCCTTTGCTGTTTGAACCAATTTAGACACAAAAGCTCTAAGAGTAAACAGTGTTTGGCGGTCAAAAATAGTGTATAATTAGGCAATAATAAATTTTTTCTTAGATAATTCACAATGGATCTGATATTAATTCTACAAAGTCACCTAAAGGGACTGTGAGCAAAATCAGCATATTTACAAAAACTTTGCGAACTCTCCTAGTGATCATTTAAAGGCACAATTACTTGAAAAGAACAGTTTATTATCTTAAACAAAAGTTGAATCATGTACCAGACGAAATGCAAAGTAAATACTGGGTTTCTTCTCAGAAATTTTGCATTCACAAACTTTTCAGACATTTCTGCCCACTGTGAAACTTTTGCACATCTCATTTTTTAAAGATTTTTTGGATGATGAAGAAACAACACCTGCATGAAAATAACCCTACTTTAGAGAAAAGAGCCCCATAAACATCAGACTGAGGGTTTTTGTACAAACTTCATGGATTCTACATTCCCAGTTAAGTAATGATTGTATTCAGCCAAATACTTATTTTTTCTTTCTTAGTGACTTGAAGGAGCAAATTAAACTGATACGTCAGCATCAGGTCAATCAAAATCAGACTTTGATTCTTTTGCACATGGATTATGACCCGGCGTCTTCAGATCCCTGCTTCATCATGTGAATTGATGTCTTAGGCCTTAAGAATTAATTTAAAGCTACCCTTTCCCCAGTACTAACAATTAACTTCACTTTAAAAGTCATCTAAAGATGACTTTCTATAAACTCTACAACTGAACTGTTCTCTGTATCCTACCTCCCTGGCTTCCATTCGCTCCCACATTCTGGGAGAACGGAGGAAAGATAGAAGTGAGAAGAAATTAATTTCAAACACATCCTCTCCACCAGGCCTTCCAGTTTACTCTATTTCAACCTCACTCCACACTGTTCTGGTTCATCCTCACATCTGAAGGGCTGGAAGCCCTGGAGGTTAGCCAAAGGCTGGAAGAATTATCTGTATTAATCTCCACCTAGAAAGGGGTAACTGCATTATTGATAAAGGAGAAGCAAACAATTTTTTTAAAGGACTTCCCTTTGAAAATTACAGATACTTGTACCACACTACTCTTCGAACCTTCTGACGAGAGGTAAGTATCGTATGAACAGGATGACTTTTTTTTTTAACATTCAAGTAGAGTACGTAACCTAGAATCTTTAACATATAAACATTCTGAATACGTTCATCAAAGATATTTTTAATATAAAAATCTAGAAAAGAGAATCCAGACTTCTCTTCCATTTTCTATAGCGTTCCAGATTCTATCCTCAGAAAATAATAAATAATTTGGTTGGTCTCTTAATTCTTTCCAGTTTCAACTGAAGCATTACATAAACTATAGTCTTTTTCCTCGGATTTATTTTCTCTGGGTAGTAACTGTTATGGTTAGAGGACCGGATCAGCCTTACAATGCCTCAGAGAACAGATCCAGCCGTTTCCTGGGCAAAAACATCACCTCCTCCCCTTTTCTTTCTCATTCCTAATAAACAATACTCACTCACTGTCCAATTCCAGAATTTTATAGGTGTTGTTATATATTCTTTTCCCCTTCCATTTTATATCCCCTAAATCTCTTCCCAAATGACATAAATGGCTACTTTATGAGCATTTATGAAAACTCAGCTTATTACTGTGGGTGCAAATTTTCTTTGAAAAATAACCTCAGTTTTCAGATATGTGGTTTGAAAGGTTCTCATGCTGATTTTTTTAATTATCATTAAAAATCATACCAACATTAATAAACAATAGGCACTTAGACGATTTTTTCTATGGAGGTCCAGAAGGAAAATACTTTCAGTTTATGGGTCATTTAGTCTGTGTTGCAACTACTCAGTTCCCCTTGTAGCATGAAAGCAGTAATAAACAATGTAAATGAATGAATGGGGATGTTTTCCAATAAAACTTTATTCAAAAACAGGCAACTAGATTTGTCCCTTGGGCCCTAGTTTGTTGAGCCCTGACCTAGACATATGCTAATGATTTAGCTGTAATGAATTACCCCAGTGGAAGTATTTTCAAAATAAACAAGGTTGACTTCTGCCAGTAAAACACATTGATGAAAGTATGGGAGATACTGACCTAACCATAATTATTTAAAAGTAACTTTTAGCTCCCCACAGCCCAAGAAACTCTGGCCAACATATCCAATGATGTGCTTGTTAATAAAAACCAATAAAGCAATACATCTCACAAAACTGCTCTTCCATCTGGTAGAAACAATGTTGAAAACACATGCTCAGAGGACCTATGTAAGAAATGTAATTAATGAGCATGAGCAAATTAGGTCTATTTCCATGGCATTGTGTGTGACTTCACATGACAGGGAGTGACTGTGTTTGCACAGTCCTTCAGAAGGTGCTATACCCTGGCCCACTGGTGAACAGAAAGCTCTCATTCCAATTCAGATTTTAGAATATCCAGTCAATAAGCGCTCCACCACAGTAACAAGCTTTACATTATGGAAACAAAATCACAGAGTGCACGATTTGTGAATACCCAGGAGCCCCATGCTTCAGTCCAGGAGACGGAATCCGAGGGCTTTTTGACCTCACTTCTCTCTGGTCCCATCTCATGACACCACCATCCTTCATCCTTCTCATTCCTTTCCAGTTTGTGTTCTTCCTCCTCTCTGGGTCCTTGCCCATCTTGTCCCATCTTCCTGGACAGTTCTTCCTCTAACCTCCTTGTCGGGCTAACTACTACCCATCTTGCAGGTCTCAGCTTAGACCTCTGTTCTTCCAGGAAGCCACCCATCCCAACCTTGCACCCTCAAGCCACTGCCTGCTTTTGACAAAACTTGTTCAGGCCTGGGGACAGAATCCCTATCTGTATCATATTCCACTGAATTATTGGCGCTTTGCAGGCTGTCTGGTATACAATGTGCTATTTGTTGAGCAAAACCAATGAACAAACTCATAAATGCCAATGGCATAAGGAAACTAAAAGTCAAAAAAATCCAAATGATAAAATCAGTGTTTTTTGTTAACCCATTAAATCTTTTGCTTTCTCTATTTCTCCCCCATATAAGAAAGAAATGGAAATAAATGTCTTGCCTCCTAGATTGAAAAGTCAATGTTTCTCAAACAAGGTCTAAATTATTATTTTTTTCTTTGCAACAAGCTTATGTTAAAGCAAGCCTCTCTAGCCCACAGGCAGTTAATGTGCTGACTTAGCATTGTTTCTGACCTCCTGTTCTTGTCTTTATCCATTAATCCCACAGCATTTTAATGTTTTAATTCAACACATAATTTTACCATATCACTCAGCCAAACCTGTTCAAGTTTCACTTGCCATGATAGCTTTTAACCTCTTATTCATTACCATAATTCTATGTTTTATATTACAGACTGGTCAGCTTTTAACTTAAACGCAAGGGGCAGAAAAGAGTGTTACAGTTTTAAAAGCTGTAAATCTCAGAGGCTAAGGAAGTGGGGGTGAACAGGAAGAAAATGGTGAATGTGTCAAGCCTGGCTGTAAAAGCAGATCAATGACATGGGGTGCAATTTGTCCAGAGAACTATTCCAGCCCTGATTCTCCCCTGCACTGGAGTCACTAATAAACTGGCAGAATGACAGTGCCACTTTCTAAGGCACCACGGGGGACCGAGGATTAACTCTAAGGTAGATGGGCTTGTGCATTCTCATTCTTAACTTTTCCAAACTAAACGGAACCTCGAATATTCTGAAACAAGTTAATCTCTAGAATCCCCTTGAAATGCAAAATATACTTTAAGAAGATGAGATGATTATTTTGAAATGGCAAGGGTTTGCAATAAGATAAAGCTATATTTATACTCTTGCCATTCTGTTTAAATGCTGGAGCAGGTTAAACTTAGCTTTATGTATTACACCTCCTAAAAGTTCACTGTTTTTGGACCACAGATGGTCTCTAAGATGAGCCTGTCTGTTATTTTTTTCCCCTGTGAATAAACACTGCAGGTAGCAAGCACCATAGTTTCAGGGAGCACTGGATTGGCTCAGGCACCTTCTTCTCACCAGCCCTGACCCCCTCAGGAGTTACCTGAGGGAGTGGAAGATGGCAGGTGGACCACGACACAAGGGGACTGAAGACAGCTCTACATGATTCGTGAGAACATGAAGGAAATTGGCTGCCAAACAAGGCAGGGTTTTAACCATCACCAAGTCAGCAACCCACTAATGCCAACGTGTTTTCTCTTCACCTAAGCAAACACTACTCCAGCTCTCCCATCCACACCAACAGAACTCAGTGGGGTTAAGGCTAATGGACACTGCTCAACGAGTGATGCTCTACCATGTCCTGGAAGACCATCATGACTCACATTGGCAAAAAAATACAAAAGAAAATGTCCATACTGTGTTGAAAACACAAAAATATGCTGAATGTTATGAGTCATATCTCATTTACTTTAATTTCATAGTTAAGTCAGAAGTGTTGTGAGATCTACGATTGCCATACAGAAAAATCGCAGAAAATGGTAATAGTAGTATTTAACATTGGAGCTTTCAAGAAGACCTACATATTAAATAGACATGGCTGCCGATAGGCATGAGGAGCTTTTGAGTTGGCCAGTGATCCCATTACACAGACAGCCAGATTCCACATGCAAATTCATCACTCAAGGTCACAGATCTAGTGAACAGTATCCCAGGATGTGGAACTCAAAGGCTGGTGTTCCTTCCCTCACGTCAAACTGCCTGTGATGAGAAATTTGCTGATGAGAATTTCCTCGGAGAGGCTGTGCGGAACTTTTGATTAGTAACATCAAGGTGTTCTCCAGAGACAAAATATGAGACAGGCTTTAGGAGACTGATATGACTCAGTCACACCATCAGTGAGCCTCCTAATGCAAAGAGATAGTCCCCAGCGGTTGGGAGATAAAATAACTGAGCCTTAGAATTACAACAAAGACAGTGAAATGAGAACAAATAATAAGTGAAAAAGTTCAAATAAGAAGAAACAGTAAGTAACAGGTCTGTGATGTGCATATGCTAGCACAATGCCTCCTCTAACTCTGATAAGCAGTATATATTGTAGGGAGACTTCACCCCACCAGAAAGTTCGCTGCAGGGTGATGCTGGGTAGCAGCTCCCAAGAGATACTCTTGTTATCTTTTGTGCCTCAGGAGAGGAAAAAGGAAAAGGATACCAACAAAAAAAATCATTTAAAATCCATGAAGAGGAAGGACAGAATGGCCATTAGGGCAAGTATATGCCTAAGTTACAAACAGGAAATAGCTAAAATAATAACTGAATACCCAAATGACAAACGTGGAATAAAAGGGACATCTTAAATTATTTTCTGTGTCTGTGAAGAAATTTAACACTCCTTTGGAAGAGCATTTCCTGTGGTGTGAAGGAGACATGACAGCACAATGACACGTGGGACGAAAGGACATTATTCTTTGCGCCTACTAAAATAACACGCTGGCCATTCATCACTGGAGGCCCATCATGCAAACGACACTTTGGGACACAGAGTTCTCTGCATTTGTGCATTGACGTAACTCATCCTTGCCCCACAGGCAAGCACAAAGTTTCTGACACTCTTCCTGTGGGTATGGGCAGGGCACTGGTAGGTACTTGGCGGTACTGAGAAGTACCAGAGGCATCGCTCAGTTACCCTGTGCAGGTGGAGGAGGGAAAGACAGGTCTGGACTAGTCATCTGTCAGGCAATATCTGTGACATGCTTCACCCCAGGAAGACCTCCTGTGTGAGCTGGAAAGTGTGACATGACCTTGTTTGCTCTCTGAAAGGCCCAACTTGGTGCAAGAGTTTTGCCAATGAAGCAGTGGCTGCTACCTGTGAGATAAGCAGAGAGTCAGGGACCCGGGGGGTCATGCAAAGCAACATAACCAGGACTATGATGTGCAGAGGATGAAGCGCCCAGGCTCAACTGGTGAATGTGCCACCCTCCTGGGGGTGTTGGGACATGCACAGTAGAATGTAGATGTGCCTGTGTGGATTTTCCACACAGTAACTGGGGAAAGGTACTGGTATCAGGTGGGTGAGAGGCAGATTTACCAAACAACCTGCGACACAGCGGACAGTTCCATGCAACAGGGGGCCTCTGAGGAGAAGCACAGCAGGAATGTTCTGTGGGCACCAAACTCCTCAACCTCTATCTCAGGACGAGTACTAAGGTGGAAAGGGGTGATGACGGCAAGCAGAGAGCATGCTGGGTGCCAGACACTGAGCTAAGTATTTTATGAATAGAAAGCACTGCACGAGGTATGAGGTTAGCTGTGTCTCATCCCACATCTGCCTCTAAATTCCTTGCTGATGGAAAAGAATTTTACTTCTCTGGGTGTCTGCATCTGTAAAATTAAGGGGGGCTGTACTCAATGAGTGATGTTCAATCTTTAGGTTTCAGCAATAAAACTTTCCCTCAAATGACACCCCAAAGAAAAGCACAGGGAAGAGTTGAGAGGCCGTGGCCCCATGGGAGAGGTTTTAGGAGACCCTCTATTCCCAAGGGGTGTCCCCAAGGCATGTTCCTGATCCCAGGGTCCTGGAGAAATTGGTTTAAAAAAGATGTTCAAATAGCCATTGAGAGCCCTTTAAACGCAATATTCTAACTACAAATTGTCTGTGTATGAGATGAACAAAAGGCTGTGATTTGGTGAAAGCACTTGATCTTCAAAAACACCAAATCCTACTCACTGCTCTGAAGTCCATGGCCAAATCATTTGTAAACCGTACACTCCATTTCCTCATCTATAAAATGAGAATAATCTGAAGGCTATTCGAGAGATCAGAGGTGATGTGTGCTTCCACCAGCATCTCCTTTGTGCTTACTGTGGGCGCAGCGGCGGTGCAGGCAAATCTCATCTAACTGTGTTCTCACCACAATCCTATAAGGAAGCTATAATACTCATAGTATCATTTATTACATATGGAAGAGTCCCTCAGTAAAGTTGGGAGGATCCAACATAAAGAAATGAAGGAAAATAAATCTGGCCTCAATGGATTTCATAATGGTTTGTTACAAAATTCATCAAATACATCGAAAAATTCCCATCATTTTAGGATAGTCTGCTCCATATTCTTCCTAAATTATGTGCTATTTCACTAAGTAGCAAATTCAAAAGTATAGGGTACATTGGATATGTCTATAAACATTTCCCAAATAGTCTAAGATGGCACATTATCTTTCTGGAGAGAATTCCTGACACATACTTTTTTCTTCTGTCTTCATCAACGCTAAACAGCATTTACCAGTTAAAAATAAAAGCTTGCGTCAGGTCACGGTCCAGCTTCCTCAGGGCTCCTTTCAGGGTGGGGATACGAGGTTTTACACTAAGCCCAGACAAAGATATTCTCTCAGCCCAGCCGCACGCAGAGACAAGCCCCGCACGCATCTCCCATCATGTAAAAAGCAAAGGAGACTCACGTGCCCAGACATTCCTCGTGTTTTCTGCTGTCTTTTCCCCACACTTCAATGTCCAAAATGCCCATCCTGTCAGAGAAGTAGTGAAAGTCAAACTCTTCCCGCCACTGCGGATTTGCACTCTTACACAGTGTCTAGAAAACATGCAGTTATAATATTTATTTTCTTAAAATGCCATTCATCGCAACAGCAGCTACGCATTAATGTCATTTCTAAACCTCAGGAGATCAAGATCACAGGCCTCTGCCTTATAAAGTTACACTTTCCGTTTTGGAATGAAAAGGTCTTTGAGGTTTTGGGAATTGGTAAAACATCAGTACTCTGTTCGCTCAACCCCCAGAGTCAATTATTTATTTACCCAAGTTAGGAAGGAATACTGTTACCCAACAAGAAATCATAAATTATAAATATACATATACATACACCTATGAGATATATAATCATGTTATTATATATGTATATAATATCTGTAGGACATATCTCAATAGATATTTTACAGTTCTCTCTTATAGAAGATACTACTAATTGGTTAATCAAATGCAAATAACATTTTTATTGGCACCGCCAATTTAGCCCTGGCTTAAGAACTATATAAATTAACAATTTGGGCTCTTAATTAACATCTGTCAGATGCATTTTACATGAGAAATTCATAACTTGTCCAAGGCTGCCTATTTTTAAATTTGAGTTACTGAATCCAGTCAGTAGAGTGACAGGAATACTGGGGAATTCCACAGCAGCCAAATCTAAAAATGAACTGGCATGGTTTGAAAACTCCTTAAGCGTTTCTGTGTTCTCCAAGAGGGACTGCAAACTGCTTCTATGTTTGATTCATCAGCAGGATTTTCATTTTTGTTTCATTTACCTATATATTCAACTGGAAAATAAAAATGAGCAAAAATGCTGGCTACCGAGTATGAGGTTCTCAGGGCACCAGCATCGACAATTAAATCCCGATAACTAGTCCTACATGGGAAAACAGGGCCAAATCAGACCTCAGGGACAGCCAATCACGTAGCATCATTTAAGTTCTTTTTCACATTGGGCTTAATATATCAAATACAGAACATAGAAACCATGAAAAAAAAAACCTATTAGACCATAAATTAAATTCAATATTCCCTAAGGGGGAATGTAGCAAATATTGGATTAATTCTATACTTCACCTCCGTCCAAAGGGCTAAGTGTGCTTAGCGATGAATAAAGGATTCTATAAATCCTTTGCCTGACCCTAGCTGCCTAAAGAAATCTTTGTGGAGAGATGTTGTCACCTTGGCTACCCTCACTGTGAGATACAGTCTGAAACTACCTGTTTAAAATAATGATCTATATATTTCTGCTGTAACTCAGCCTTAATTTTTTTTTCATTTTTTATAAATGATTCTCCAGCCTGAGAGAATTAAAGTAAATGATGCTTAATATTTGATTTTGCAATGAAAATTGTTCACAGGAGACAACTTCTTACCACCCTAAATCATATTCCAACTTGTCCTCAATCTGTGATGTCCTCTACACTGGAAAGCCCGAACTACAAATATCCTTGGGTCTATTTTCAAAATCTTCCACTGATTTGTTGTTTTTCTAAGTGGCTTTTGGCAAGGGATTTAACTTTCAAGTACCCTAGTTCCCTCAATCCATAAAACATAGGAAATATTCCTGTCTGACAGTTATGGAAAACTAATTAATTACCATGGTTTGGAGACTATGGTTTTTGAAATAAAAACCACGTCAAATTACTAAGATTAAAAATTAAATGGAATTTATATCAGCAGAATAAGATGACTGATTTTTAAAGACAGCTAATGCCATGACTTTTGTTCAAAACAAACCACTTTTAATACTTTACATAGTTTATTTTTTTACATAATCACAGCTAAAAAAGGCAGCCCTGGATGTATTTTTGGCATTAATACTAAGAAATAAAAGAAAGGGAAAAGTATATAATTTTGAAAATATTCTTAGTTGCCTCAAATATTTCAATACAAATAATATTACACTATTTTACTTTTGTAGGATTTTGAAAATATTTAGTTATCCCTTTCCTGCATTCTATAAAATATAGTTTATCTTCAAAATGAAAATGAGTAGTGCATTCAAATCTATTATTTAACAAAGTTTCTCTAGCACTAGTTACTATATTAAAATAAATTATACTAAGTGATCAAATACCCATATTAATTGACTGCATTTATATAATTATTTTGTTTTCCAGAATACTTCTAATATAGTTAGGAGCGTTAAAAATAAATTAGTTCTATTCCTATGAGATAAAGTGGGAATGCATATTTTTCAAAATTATTTTTATTCTTAAAAATACTGTTCTCCTTAAGGAATTGACAGAACTTACCTTACTTTTATATCTCTGATCTCCCAGTTTTAACTGGACAAACATTTCTGTCATGCTTCCTCCTGAGACATTCTTCCCTTCCAACAAAGTTATACTTATAATTCCATTCCAGAGTTGGTTCTTTTTCAAGGACTCTGAAAGCCGTAGGTTGCGTATCAAAGAGGACTAAAGCAAAAAATGAAGATGACATATAAGCTTGCTGATAATTCTTGAGTGTGACTTTGGTGATCATAGGAATTCCAGCTTTCAATATTGGATTATAAATAGCCCTCCCTGCCTGGTGAGTGTTATTCTTCATTGGTTTTACAAACTTGCAATGACAGTTATGTGATTTCCTTCTCAAGCATTGACTTGTAACAATATAGCAAAGGATGAATCTGAGCAACGCCTGCATTTGGCACTGGCCTGTATTTCCCATCCGATGTGCTCTTTGGTAGGAATCCTTCGACGGGGCCTTTGGCTATTTTAACAGTAGGAAGGGAAGAAAGGCATTCTGGGAAACAGAGATGTAAGTACAGGGCATTGCTTTGCAAGGAAATAAAATACCTCTAGGCATTTAGAAATAACGTTTCTGTATTTATCCTTCACACTTGAATCTGTCCCCATGTCTCTTTATTCCTTGGGCTACTTCTAAAAAGCCTAACACTGCTGTGAGATTCACAAGTCCAGATACAGCCTGTAATCGGCTAGCCATCCAAATGAGCTTTGCAGATCTGGGGGGAAGGGAGGGATGTATAAAGTAGGTACACAGTGCTTGGAACCCAGTAGGGGTTCAGTAACTGTTAACTTATTTTTTTTCCTTTTCTAAATTTTATTACTCATGCACACTCACATACACCTTAAATAGAATATAGAAAAAGGCAAACATCCCTATTATTAAATTATAAAGAGAACAAGCACACTTTATTTATTTTTAATTTCCATTATGTAAATTTTCAAACATACACAAGGGTAGAGAGAATGGTATAATAAATCTCCATGTACTTATTCACCAGATTCAACCTTTTGCCAATCTTAGTCCATCTATTCCTTCACTGTTTTCCTTTTCTAGTTGAAATATTTGAAAGAAAAATCCATATTTGTTTTTGCTTAAGCACCATGCCATGATCACACTCAACACAAGTAACCATAATTCCCTTAATATTATTGAATACTCAGCACATATTCACATTCCCCCTATGGTCTCAACAATGCCTTTTTAGGCCTGCTTTGTTCGAGGATCCCCACATGCATCTAAGAGGCAGAGTTCATTTCCATTCTCCCGTTCGATAAGTGAAATGGCACAGTGTAGATACTTCAAAGGAGAAATAAATGAACTGAAGAATGTAAATGGTGTTGAGTATCCTAGTAAAGCAATGAATGTCTAACACTACGGATCCCTTCCTGTCATCAGCTCACTGTATCTCCAAGATCATTTAGACACCCATTTGCTAGGACACCAGTGAGTCACAATTTATCATGACAAAAGGTATGTCTGTGCCATATTATGCACCAAGCGTTTGTTTGATCATTTTATGACTACCTTAAAACAAAATACATTTAGGGAAATCTCTCCTCCCAAACTTGAGATTTGTGTTGCACACCCACACACACGGGCGTGTATACATGGGTTTTGGAGGTGCTACGACAATGCAGGGAGGGCTGATGGGAAAAGGATTCATTTTTAAAAGGAAAAGAAAATCCTCTCCTCTGGAGGACATGAACAATTCTTTCTTAGCTTCTATTTGCAGTTGGGTTATGGATAGAATATATTTCATAATGAAGGTTTATGAAATAAAGTTAAACGATATTGTATTTGTTAAAAACAAACACTGTCACAACATGTAGTAGACACACATATGTAAATATATTTATATGGGTGCACATAAATGTAAAAATGCATTTTACAGCCTATTAAGTACACAGACGGAAAACTTCTCTTTAAAAAGAAAATGAGATTTTGATTCATCTCTCCCACTGCAATTTCCTTTTTTTTTTTTCTTCTTAAAGTTTGACTTACTAACCAACAAACTAAAGCATGACCTGTCCCATGGCCATACTTCAAAGTTCCGACAGATATATTCCTCCCTAAACACTGCAACTATTTCAAAATCCTTTTTATAAAGAAGGGAGTAATGTCCACAAGGGATCAAAGGGCATCCTACAGTCTGGCAATTGCTTAAGAAAAATGGCAGTGCTTCCATGAAATATGCCCTAAAATAATTTTGCAGCTTGGTATGTCCTAATTTCAAATTGGATGTTTATCTTGGAAAGGCTTCTATCTAACTTGTCCATAAAACAGCCCCACTTAGCTCTATGAGCTCTGTGAAAATGGAATCCAAGCTGGTTATTAAGGGGGCCTAGAGATAGGTTCCATATGGCGAAACAGCATGGGAGGGCAAGGCTAAGGCCCACATCAGGCACAGCTTGGCTGGAGCTCCTGATCTATCCACGGACACTCGTTGCATTACACCACAACATCTGGATTATTGCTTGTCATGTCCCTGGGAAATATCCACTTTCCATCAAAGCCTTTATCTATCTCAGTTGGACTTTGAACATTTTAGTATTTAACGCAGTCATGTTTGATGTGACGGATTTGCTCTTTGTTAACCAAGTTTTTTTTTCCCCCCTTACTAAAGGCAGGGTAGGGAAAGAGAAGTATTTATTGCAGAGTTCACAGACAGAAAGGAACACAAGACCTTTATTCTACTTATTACACCCTAAATATTTCTTACAAAATCCACTGTAAGTTTCAGTCCAAATAAAGTCTGCAAGCAACATATTTTGGGGTTTGTGTTTGTGCTCTGAAGAAGTTTCTTAGTTAGTTTCTCTTGCAGCCTTAAGACATGTGATGAGGCTTAAAAGCAGGTTCTGTAGTGGGGGTTGGAGCACAGAATCTGGCCCGTCCTATATGTGCTCTGATGTAGAACTGCTGGGCTCTCAAAATTTTGTGCTCTTCAAACTTTTTGTCTCCCAATAAATCGAACCCTCTGAACTCACTCTGCTAACTCAATAGCTCAGGTTTTCAGGTATGTGCCTGAGCCTATAAGTGAAATTTGTCATTTTACAGCAGCTTGGAATGTGAAAGGAACAGAGGAAATGACCTATCAAAGGAGAAGCCCACCCCACGTGAGCTGAAACAAACACCAGGAGATAGAGCAAAGTTTCTGGGTCCTGACCCTAATTTCTCAGCAGACAGAACAGATAAAATATAATCTACCAGGGTTTTGTTATTTTGCTCCTTCCTCCCAAAGGATCAGAACCTTTGGCTCTTTCTACATTGAGTCATTCATAGGATCCTCTTCCTCTGTCCCCTCCCCACCCAACCCACACCCATTCTCCTAAACAGAAATCTATCATGACTTCCATCTGAAGCACACACATTAGTGTTTAACCAGTGAGAACAAGGTGTGATGTTTAATTTGGAAACATGCTGACTTTTAAGGGGAAAAAAAGATGTAAGACTTCCAAAACAATTTACTTCCGGGTCATGACGATCCCACCCTCCCAGACAAGGAAGAAAGGGAGCAAAACCAGGGGTGCAGGTAGTGGAGCGTCCAGAGGTGGGCTTCCACTCACTTCCAACAGGTGGGGGAACCTCAGAAGTCTTTCATCTAGGACTAGACTCTCCAAACAGTGACTGGATTGTCATTCCTGGGACATAAAAAATGAATTGCAGCCAGGCAACATTCATTATTTGAGGATTCGGCCAAGTGGCATGCTGGGAATATGGAGATGTGGACTCCATTATCCATTTCCTTGGCACAGCTGCAAAGGAAAATGTAGAATTGATGGACATGCCCGCTGGGTGCCTCTTATCTGTCCTTAGCCAGGAGGAATGGCAGAGAGGTTAGGAGTAAAGAAAGATCTTGCAAGGAAGGCGTGGAGTCGAGGAGCTGGGGCTGCAGCCAGCCGTCATCAAAAGCGGCATTATGTTTAGCCATGCCACACTTCAGAACTGACTGTGCTGACCGATCCCACAGACTAACCACCCCAAAGTACTCCCTTGGGTGTAACAAAATACCAAACTATTTTTTAAAAGATAAAAATTGAAAAGAGAGGCAGTGAGAAAAGATTCTTACAAGATTTTTCTCGAAGGGTACACCAACTAAGTGCCAAATACTGTGAGCACATTTTATATCATATCACTTATGGAAATATATATATATATATATAAATGTGAGTTAATGTGGTCAATGCATCTTATTTTGACTTTCATTAATATGTTCCCTAAGTCACTTGCCAGAAAATAGGTAGTCTGTGGAAACAAACGGAGGCATAGAATTAGCTAACTTTGTAGGCAAAATGAATAGTAAAGCAAGATTCGAACTATGTTGCTACTGCTCAGAGAAGCTCAGAGAGAACATTCAGCCTATAAAAGGTTTCCATGATATATTCCTTTCAAGCTTTTTCAACATGTAAAACTGCTGCTTATTGTCAACAGCTTTTATAGCATGACATGAGAAGATCCATACGTTCATGTAACAGCCTCCCAGAAAAGCCCCTTCTCGGCAGCTTCTTATATCATCTGAAGAGGATCCTGTAGGCATAAATTCTCCAAGAACTACACACAAAAAAAATCCTTGCATGAGGATAAAAAGAAAGCCTTTTAAATTTCCCACATGGACGTGGACACAGAAAACAAGATTTATATCCATAGATGAGGACTATATCACAGTCCCAAGGCTATGAATAATCTGCCTTGTACAAAGACATCAGCTATAAAAGTTTAATGCTAAATTTAATATTTAGCATTAAACATAGGGAATGTCATCACTCAATTTTTGCACTAAAAAATAAAAAATTAGGTTAGGAGAAGATTTCTAAAAATGGATCATCTATAAATACCCAATAACTCTCAGGGTTAAGAACCAAGATAGTGTTTCTGATGCATTTACTACTATTAAAAAATAAAGGGAAATAAAAAGGAAGGCCATTGATTCAACAAGATTTCTTTTTTTTTGCCCTGGCCCTTAGGAAGCTCAAAGTTAAATGTGTTCTTACATGCAATAACATGCATTATCTGTAATTTCTTGATTCAACCTTTATCCCATATTCCTATGTCTCTCCTTTATTTAAAATATTTCAGGGGCACCCCTATCCCGACTGGAACTAGAGAAAAGCACGCAAGGCGCTTGGCATGAGAACCTCAGGGAGGTGCTCCCTCTCAGGCGCTGCAAGGG